CGGGCACGACATCAGCCCCCAGCCTAAAGTGGTGTCAGTGCCCAGAGAAGGACACATTGCCGGGGGCGGGGGCGCAAGTTAGGGCTCAGCCCCTCCGTCCCGGCTCAGGCGTGGAAAAAGTTGGGGGCACAAAGTGCTGTGAGGTCTGTACTACCTGCCAAAGGTGGTCGACACAGGAGACGATGGCACTGCGCAGTTGGTCAGGGTCTTCGGCCGTCAGTTGCCTGCCAGCGAGCAACAGAGGAAATCAAGTTGAAGGGGGGCACTCCTTACCTCCCTCCCAGTGCCCCCTCAGGCTTTGACAGGCCCAGCGTAGTAGTCAGACTGAACCCTTCTGCGGGTTCATGACCCCTGGGGCGGAGGCTGCCATCCCTCCCCCTTTCCCCCCAATCCCTGAACTGACACAGTCATAATGCGGTGGGTCACCCTGAAAGACTTCAGAACCAGTCCTGGGTCTCGGACATTCAGCATCAGGAACCGGCAGACCATCTCGGCCTCCAGGGAGGTTGGGAAAGGCACGTTGAGGAAGCTGGCGGGGAGACGGTTAAGGAACCACCCCAAACTGGCTTTGTGCCCCAGACTCCTTGTCCCTCGTCGGCCTGCTGTCCCCAGGCCGACCTCGGGCCGTCCACGACCCCCCCATGGACTCCCCTCAGGCCCCTTCACTGTCGTCCCCCCCCCCCCCCCCCCCACCCAAATCCAAAAACCGAACTCATTGCCATCAAGTTGATTCTGGCTCACAGCGACCCCCTTTAGGTTTCCCAGGCGCCCAGTCTTCATTCTGAGGAGGGGCTGGTGGGTTTGAACCGCCTACCTTCTGCCTAGCAGTCGAGTGCCTCAGGCACTACCCCACCAGAGCCGAGCTCAGCTGCGCTCAATTCCCCTGAAATCACTGCTGCCCACTCCCCTGCCCGCCACGCGCCGCCTCTGGCCCAGCCCCTGTGGGCACCTCTGACAGGATACAACTCGAGCACCCGCCTTCCTGCTCTGTCCGCTGGTGCTGGGCTTCCCCCAGGCCCAGGGGCCCGTGCTGCTAGCTCTCTTTGGAACACAATGCCAGTTGCAGCACCCGCATGACCGACGACGCTGCGGTTGCCTGGACCACGTGGCCCGTTGGCACGAGCCGCCACCCGGCCGGCACCGTTGTCGTCTGCGGCCTGCATGGCTGCTGCTCCTTCACCTGCGCTTTCCACCTTAGACTGTCTCCAACCAGTCTGACTTCTCCGCGGGTGCCTAGAAACCGAACTGTCTCACAAAGCTCCACCGCTTGAGGGTCGTTCCAATTCCATTGCGCCTGCGCAAACATATGTACCTGAGAACGCGGACACGTGACCAGTTCCCCCCAGGCCTGCACTGCGGCGGCGGTGACCCTAAGACCTCGTTGTTCAGAAGAGACTAAAGTCCTCCCAGAGCTCCGCTCCTTGGTGCGCGATGGCACCACA